TCTGAAAAAAGGAGTCCTTGACGTCATTTGAAGTAATTGTTTCCTTAGCGCAAATGCAATCCGCGACTTTGTTTACGAGTTATTAGCGAAAAACAGTAACCAATGAGAGGCGAGATCGGCTGCGTACGCTCGTTGGCTCGGCCGCCCCGTGTCAGCTGATCTCGCTTCTCATTGGCCACTGTTTTTCGTTAATAACTCGTAAACAAAACCTCGGATTGCATTTGCGCTAAGGAAAAAGTTACTTCAAATGATCTTAGGGATCTCTTATTTCTCGATTTTGAGTAACTTTTGGGACACCCTCTATACAGCAATTTTGCTTATTTACTTATTAACAACTCTGCTTATTATCTATTAATTAAATGACCTAGAAAGTTGAAAATGTGGCTCATCGTTGAAGAAGATTTTCTTCGAAAAATCAGCATCAAATTGTTGCTCCAGCATCCGACCGATCATTATCGACTACCATAATTCAAAAATGGGAAGTCGCGCTAGAATCGATGATACTTACTGCGCGTATAAATATAGGCAGACATCAGGATGACTACAATGTGAAATTCTAAAGCTCGAAATGGATCACCCTATGTTATTCCTTCCTCATTTTATTAGATTCGTGAAACGTAAAAATGTTCAAAAAGTGATGGATGTCATACACCTTATTTGCTCGAACTTGAGAATTAATTTTCAAGCTGATCTATTACTGCTTCCTAATTTGATTAGAATCCGAGAAACGCAAGGATGTCATAGTACAGTAATGTCTCCCTAACTGACGCTTAGATTTCTCCCTAATTCGCGCTCAGATTGCGTACAAAAATTGACAATTTTGGAAGAGAAGATACAATTATTCGAGCCCTGCAACTCGTTCTTATAGTTATTGACAATTCGTAACTATAAAAACGAACCGCAATAATCGTATCTCTTCTCCCCAAGTTGCCCACTTTTGTGGACAATCTGAGCGTCAATTCGAGAGACATTACCGTACAACTTAACTTTCCAATTACAACTCGATTACAGCAAATAATTTGATGTTGAGATTGTTGGTGTGGCAGTAATGCGTTAATGCCGACTAAATGATCGCTGAAACATCCGGCGCAGATTTTCTCCTCGGACAGCAGGCCCTTATGAGAAAAGTTGCTAGATTCATATCGAGAGGCTCCTTTGAACTCCCGCTGGCCGTAATTGATCCAGTGGCTTTCCCCGAGGCTGTTCCCTCGATTTTCTTTGTCTTCCCGGCACGCTGGTCTCGAAGTTCCCGAAGTTCTCGAACGACCGGCACGCCGAACAGCGCCAGCTTTTCCGCGAATACGCTTCAAGCCGCGGAAAATCGAAGTTTCCTGGGAAATCGGTGGCTTTCCCGTTCGGAGTCTCGTTCGTGCCGTTGCAACGGTCGCAACGCTGTTGTTTGCCAGGGTCGTTCGGCATTGTTGGTGTGTCCACTATGCCGGAGACAAGCGTGCACACGCGTGCACACGCATGCCGAAGAAGAAACGTGTGCTCGCGTTTTATATCTGGAGTGTTCGCGAAACTATTTTTAGAATGACGCCGCAGAACAGTTGGTGGACGTGTGTGGCGCGCCTAACAGTTAACCCTGACCCGGTAATAAATGTTATACCCCCGTATAGGAAGCTATAGACACCCCCACCTGCCGGCTGATAATCCACCCTCAGTCTCTGCGGGCGAATCAGCTGATGGCTACGACGTCGGCGAACCAAATTGATTATTAAAATCGACTACGAGCTGTCGCTGAACGATCCGCTTGCACGCGCGAGTCTCTTCCCACGAATTCTCTCACTGGTTTCGCAATTTTCACTACTTTCGTTGCACTATTCTGCACCGGGAGACATCCGCAGTGGACGTTTCCTGCTAACCCTGGCAAGAAATTGCCGATCGGACGACGTCGATACGAAATTGTCGAAAAACATTTGTTTACGAAAATATTATTATTTAGTGTTAATTTATTGAGGAATCAAGGGGAGCTTAGTAAGGATAGTGGGGCCGGTTACTGTGCAGTGACCAATTGCTGTCTTAGGTTTTTGTTTTCGGCCGTAATAAACTTTATATTTTTTTAATAAGACATCAATTTCTTTTACTCGCTCAAATAAGCAAGATAGATGAGTAAAATGCAAAAATAAACATCGTAAAAGAATACAAAAATTTAATAGCTCTTATTCGATTAAACGTAAAGTTAATTATGCTCGAAATCAAAATCAAAGGCACTGCCACTGGTCACCCCACAATAACAAGCCCTCTACTTTATGTAAAGAAAATGACAACAATAAACATGTTATTTCCTTTATGGTGTACTTTCTATAATATAAATCTACGTTCATTTCTACTGTGCATTTTATGCATTTTTGACAAAAATGACTGGGTCGAAATCAAAATTGTATCGATTTTGTAAATAAATCCACTTGATTTTCTTGCGATTGCATGGACAATTTTTCTTGTACATAAAAATTCGCAGTTTGATTTTCTTTCACTAGCTATTAACTTCTGAACAGATTTCTATTTCTCTTTTCGTTCAGGTATTCCGATAATCTATAAATCTGTATACAGGGTGTCCCCGAAATACGTGAACAAACTTCGGTATCGTGTTCTGCATCCCCTAATGGTGAAAAAAGGTCATATAAGCATAGGTCCGAAAACTCTTCGTTTTCGAGATAATAGCAAATTATAGTGAGATAATCAATAGTATCGACAAATAATACTACCAACAATGTCGCAATGCGGAAAGCTTTAATTGTCACGGCATGTGACAAAATTCGAAATACATCAGGACTTTTCAAACGTATGACACGGGGAAGTCATTTTCAGCGATTTTTTAAAGTAAGTTTCAATTCTTTAAAATCTACTCTCGCGAATGAAAAGTATTTATCTCGAAAACGAAGAGTTACCGGAACTATGTTTATATATGGCCTTTTTTCATTCTTTTCATTCTCTAGGGGATGTGGAATACGATACCGCGAAGTTTGATCATCTATTTCGGGGACACCCTGTATATTAGCGTTATTACAAGGTTTAAGATTATAATGTAATAAAGGCACGGTCAACCTTTTTTCGTCCCAAATTATCATTTTATCTTCAAGGCAAAAGCCGAACCAAAATATTAAGCAAAATGAATTAAAGCAAGTGACTACTTCATATATGATTTATTTATATTATAATAATGCTTTCTTTCATTATCAGATCAAGATCGAATCAAAACAAATGAACCACTGATTACATCAAGGTTATTTTAAAGTTATGCTCATATGTGATGCAGTAAGCTATTAAATTCATCTCGGCATCAGCTATAATGTTACGAAATCAAAAATATACGGGATGTCTCATTTACAGTAATGTCTCTCTAATTGACGCTCAGATTGTCCACAAAAATGGACAATTTGGGAAGAGGAGATACGATTATTCGAGCCTTGTGGCTCGTATTTACAGTTGTTGACAATCGGCGACTACGAAAACGAGCCTCAAGGCTCGAATGATTGTATTGGGTTGGCAACGAAGTAATTGCTGATTTGTTCAATGAAATAAAAAATTTTTTTTTACTTGGAATGAAGTTCAATCTGTAACGTATTTTCCATTTTGTTCGATGACCTTTTGCCATCTCTCTGACAACTTGAAAATTCCACGCTCGTAGAAAGTCTGATACTTTTCGGCCAAAAACTGAGTTAAGTGAGATTTTACAGCGCGTCATCATCATTAAAAGTTTTACCACGAAGGGAGTTGTTCAGGGATCGAAATAAGTGGTAATCCGATGGCGCGAGATCAGGGCTATATGGTGGTTGTAACATCAATTCCCAACCAATATCCATCAATTTTTGCCGAGTGGACAAAGACGTGTGCGACCTAGCATTGTCCTGCTGGAAAATGACACCTTTACGATTGACCAATTCTGGTCGCTTTTCCTTGACCGCTGCATTCAATTTGTCCAGTTGCTAACATTCACGGATTATAAAAAATAACATAATGATAATAATAATAATAATTTTACAGTATAACATTTACGGATATCATAAAAATGGGAGTGAGAGACATCTATAACTGAAATCGGCAATTACTTAGTTGCCAACCCAATACCTCCTCTTCCCAAATTGTCCACTTTTGCTTATAAGCTAAGGGACAATTGGAGAGAATTATAATAGAGAGAGAATTATAATAATAAATCGATCCAATCAAATATCCTGCAAACCATTGGCGATACTGAAAAGTGTTTCGAATAAAAGTTACATGGTTTCACATAATCCGATTCAACAGTCCTAAAACAGTCCTTTTCGTGTCGACGCGTCTGATCGGAAACTGTTTGCCAGAGGTTGTACTAGATTTTCAGATCGTCGGTTCGATCTTTGCCAAGACTAGAATCCGGAAAGTTGAATGACTCGGGTCTGGCGCAAAATCAAAGAACTGTACGGCGATCATAGAGGCTAGAGATATCTTGTGCCAGGGATCGGCGATGAATCGAGAGAGAATCTCGCGTGAATTTGTTTGTCCCCCCTCTCTCTCTCTCTCTCCCTTTCCTTCTCTCGTTCTCTTCTTTCTAGAGTTTGCTCGCGGAGCAACAGTTTTCCGGATTTTCGACCAGTTTCCGTGTCCTCGACGCGATCCCTCGCCACTGCTCCCGGAACTTTAATCCGGCGACTAACTTCGCTCGCGTGTAACTCGCTCGACCAGTCCCCCTGCTCACCGAGGAAAAATATATTGCGAGAAGTATGACACGTACGGCGAAAGTTCCACCCGCTGAGCGTTGCATAGCGTGGGACACGGCTCAAGTTCCGCGGAATAACGCTGCTCGAGTTTCTAAAGAGAAAATTAGAAAACTCCGATGAACAATCGCGTACGGTATCTGTAATTGTTCGGGGAACTTTCGTCGCGGTTCTCCGTTATGCGGCGACGAGATCGTCCGATGATCGTGTGCGCGGCTTAAGAGTTCTCCGCAATATATTTTCCGTGGTGTTCAGCAGTTTCTACTAACAATCACTAATGAGATTCAATAACGTTGACTCGAGCAGTCGACAGGGCAAGGGCGTCCTTTCGGGCTGGCCTATCCAGGACCGGTGTCGTCGGTCTGCCGAGGGTCAGGAATCGACCAAGAACCACGACCAACCTACCTCATCGACTTGCTGACGGGACCATCCTCGACGAGGACGCCTCCGAGAATTGGTGAGTGCTTGCAAATCTATTCCTTCACTCTGTTTCCACCGACCCTATCGAAACTGTACACCGGGCCGGATTCAAATGTACCGGATTTATCGGCGTGCAATACCGACCGCATCGTAATTTTCCTACGGCCTTATTCTTGATTCAAGGGCGGGTAAACGCGAGCAACTCGAAGGTTGAATTCGACACATGCGACCAGAAACGTGCGAAACTCTGGGGCACGATTCTTGTTCGAAGTTCGCGAAAAATCTGCTCCCGCGTTCTGCCACGGTTAATTATTATAATAACCGAGGGCTCGTGGCGTGCGGGAAACTAAAATAGTTTGGATTACTGCGGATTTTGTACGTGTGTCACAAAAATGCGAAGATCGAACACATCACGATCGAGTTAGCGTTAAATTATTAGACGATGGTTTAATTTAACCAGTTTCGCTGAACTTTCGCTGTTCTCGATTTTTGTAGCATATGCAGGTAAAAGGAGGAAAACATGCAGATAACATTCCAAAAAAATGCAGAAATTATGCTTAACATCTTAGGCACGACGCGCCACTATAGTGGCTTTCGCGGATGTCATCTCTCTCGCCACTATACCGGGCGTCCCAAAAATGTCTCGCAATCTGGAAATGGCGGGTTCCTCGGATCATTTGAAGCAGCTTCTTCCTTTACAAAAATTTTCTCCGAGGCACCGTTAACGAGTTATTAACGAAAAACAGTGACCAATAAGAATCGAGTACGGCTGACGCGAGGCGGCCCAGTCAACCAGCACACGAAGCCCAATTCCGCTCATTGGCTCGCTCGCCTCGCGCCAGCCGAGCTCGCCTCTCATTGGTCACTGTTTTTCGTTAATAACTCGTTAATGGTGCCTCGGAGAAAATTTTTGCAAAGGAAAAAGTTGCTTCGAATGACCTGAAGAACCCGCCACTTTTGGATTGCGACGCATTTTTGGGACACCTTGTAGTGGCTCGATCTAGTAGCTTACTCGCTCTCCGTTTGAATTAAATAATCATCTTCCTATGCATTGTTTTACATTTTTTTTGTCTTCACATCGATTTACAACAGTGTTAACAATATACAGACGGATTATACAGCATTAGACTCTGTACAGTACATATCAGAAACTGCCGTCCAGGAAAATAGCTTCGCCCAGAATGCAGCCGTATCTAAAAGGTTAACGTGTACAGGATAAGATGACGTTTCGCTGGATTTAGAATTTTTTTACATAATTAAAAATTAAACGGTGTCATAATGTGCGTGACGATGTTTAACATATGTCGAGGAAAGTTAGGTGATTAGCACGTTATCAGTGGCACCGTGGATCGTAGGATGTGCTTCGATAGATGAAAGGAACATTTACTGCGAAATGCTGAGAAATTTGATATCAAAGATAACTTTATATTGAATGTTCGATCGATATCGCATTCGCCAATCGCCGCCGAAAAATCGTGATGAAATTGTGGCGGCTACCTCTGTTGCTCAACAATGGGTACCTTCCTGTTATTACCTGATCCGTCACCGATTCGTATATATAGGGTGTTTATTTTATTCTGCGTATTGAAATATCTTCGTTATTTTTGCTGATATAAAAGGTATGTCAGGACAGCTTCGTTCAGTTAAAAGCTAAGAATATTAAGATTCGTGCTTTTTCTGTCAAGATCATCCTTTTTCAAGTATTGTAGATCATCGATATTTTTTGCAGTTTAACTGCAAAAAAAGTAATTCAACGACCTCTGACACTATGACCCTTAAATGATCTTGAATGAAAAGATTTAATAATTTTGCTTCTCACAAAACAGGCTAGACGAAGCCACAGAATGTCATTTAAATGTCTATTCAAGATCATTTAAAGGTTACAGTGTCGGAGGTCGTTGAATTCGTCTTGATCTGTTCCACAGGGCTGCGTTAAGAAACATAAGGGTTAGCGTACAAAAAATAGCAATGATGTCCACTTGAAAAAGGATGATCTCGACAGAAAAAGCATGAAGCATAATATTCTTAGCTTTGATCTAAGCAAAGATATCAGCAAAAATAGCGAAGATATTTCAATGGTCAGAATAAAATAAACACCTTATATATCGTCCTCTTAACTGTCCTTCCGATGTAGCAGGCCTAGGACGATACGCTCACTCTCTTTTCCTCGAATCCTCGCATCATTCACAGCGTCGCCAAAAATTAATACAATGATTTATGGAGGTGCGACGAGAAATACCACCAGACTTTATAGAAAAGTTAGTAAAATCGATGCCGAATCTGAAAGCCATAATTTCATCTAAAGGGTACCGTGCTGGGTATTAACAGTTTCAGAACACCTCTAAATGTCACGTGATGAGAATGTACCGCCATCGTAACATATTTCACACTTTGTACAAACTTGAAGACGAAACACTGACCATAGTTCATGCTGTTCGAGATCTTGGAATCCACTACGATGACAAACTTTCTTACACTAATCATTCTTATACTAATCTTCTACTTATTTTAATCATATAACTGGCATTGTTAATCAAGCCAATAAATTGTTTGCTTTCGTTATCGTCTGATTTCATTATCTTATTTTAATCATATAACTGGCATTGTTAATCAAGCCAACAAATTGTTCGCTTTCATTATCCGATTTTGCGAGGACTTCAGCAATCCTCATACGCTTAGATTCTCTAGTTTTATGTCACCTTGAATATGCGAGGGTTGTTTGGTCTCCCAATCAAGCTAAGCATATTCGAATGATGGATGAAACGCAGCATAATTTCTTGCGATTTGTTGCTCGATTGATAGGATGATCAATGCTCAGACATGACTATAACTACGCACCATTCGAACACTTTTTAAAACGCAACAACTTTTTTAAAACTGGACTAAACGATTTCAATTTTTTTTTAGTTGATTGAGGGACTTGTATAGTAGACAATGACTAGACTACTTTGTTACAATTTTGCTATTACTTGGAATGACGAAACAAAATAAAAAACTCTAGTTTTCTAACTTTTTTTATCTGAGCCTATAATGAAAATTTAAAAAATACGTTTCATAGATCTCAGTATATGCATGCCGAAAAATTTATTGAAATCGGTTAACGCAAAGTCGAGTTACAAGCGTTAAAAGATTTAAAAAACTGCAGATTTTTACACTTATTCGTCGAAAGTGTCAAAAATCGGTACAAAACTGCGACTTTTGCGATCTTTAATTGTTTACAGCTCATACCAAGGTTAAACGATTTCGATAAAATTTTCGATATGCATATAACCTATCGAGGTCTACAAAACACATTTATTAAAATTTCATTATAATTTCATTCATTATAATTTTCATTATAAGCTCAGATAAAAAAGATAAAAATGAGAGTTTTTCTTTTCTTTTGTTGTTTCAAGCAATAGAAACATGTTTAAAAAGCATTCTCGCTATGGTCTAGTAGACTGGTCCTTCTATCATCTAAAAAACAAGTCGTTCAATCCATTTCTAGAAAAGTCATTGCATTTTAAAAGATGTCCGAGTATTAATGGGTGTCGCTGTGTATACTAACCACTCTTAAAATAACAACTTTGAAGAACAGACGAGCTCTGTGCCAGACATATTACTTTCTTTCAAAATTTTAAATAACTTTTCATTATGTATAACAATTGTAAATTCGGTAGAAAGTAATCTTATTTCATACAAGTTAGCTTCATTTCTGCACCTTCCTATCCGCATACTTTTCTACTTTTACCACACTTGTGCGACCAACACTTGCATCGATTTTTAAACATTCCCAATATCTCTTTCTCCGCTGTTTTATCAGAGCGCCGTTGCCCCCGTCACCCTATGTTCCTTGAGATTTATGATCCGCGGCGAATTCGGGTCACCGTACCCCCGAAATTTTCGAGGGAATGTAATCGACCCCGGGCACACGAGGAATTCGCGAGGAACACACTGGCGATAGAGATCGACACGAAAAGGAATTCGATGACAGGAGCGTGACCCATTCATGCGAGAGATATCGCACGATTGCTTATCGACGAGGCCTGTTTACGGAACCCTTAATCAATTCCCGGTACCAAACGGATTCCGCTGTTTACCCAAGCGACTGCCAATATTTGGTCTCGCGTCTGGTTTCGATCGGCCGGGCCATCCGTTCACGTGTTTTTCCTATTTTTCGCAAACAGAGAAACCTGCACCACCGGCAGCCCGTGTACCTTGTGTTTCGACGAGCCTTTCCAGTCGAGATTTATTAGTAGACTGCAGATTCTATGCATTTATAATAAAAACGATTCGGAACAATTTCAAAGAATTTAGGATCACCGATGCGACTAAGACGATTTAGGAAAGAAAAAGAAAAAGATTTCCGCGCGATCTCCGTTCGTCGGAATTTAAGCGAACAATTTCTATTTTGCATAAAGATCCGCAGTCTATTTATTAGATTTTTTATCGATAGATTCATTAGATTTCAAAGGTTCGCGCGTGTACCAGCGATCTCGAAGAATTCGTTCGATCCGAGGGACGAATCTCCCGGCAGAAGTCACTTTTCACGGTAAAAAAGTGCTCGGTCGATCGGTCGATGGGCATCGTTAAAAATTCATTTCTCCGCCGATGTATCGAGCGTGCCAAAAACGGCCTACGAAAGTGCGAGGAATTCGATAAAACTAGCAACAACTGCCGTAAATTCTCAGGATCGTCGTTCCTGGTTCCAGGAAATGAATTATACCGCGGCTGCTTCGAAATTGCTGGTGCTTCGGTGCTAACTGGAAACATAACCGTCCGCGTAAGTGGCCCACTTTCGATGGACCCCATCCAAATAGAATTGCGCGGATTCCTGACTGATGGATGCGATTCGTAGGACAAAGAGAAACTAATCTCGGCCGGGTTGCTGCCTCGGGAATCCGCGAAAACGCGGGTTAAGGGGGTTAACGAGGTATCGAAAGGAGCGTTTCCAGTTTCGAGCTAGGAGGTTTGGGGTCCGGCGTTGGCTCTGCTCGCAAGAAGCCCAAGATACCGTGAATGCGCGGCCCCGGAACAATGCGGTGTATCATTAACGAG